TTTCTCACTCCTGAGCTAAGAATTTTCTTATGCCTAAGCTAACCAGCACCTCATGTGCAGTCTCTCATGTGAGGGAACAAAAAGCTAACAGATAAAAGCTAACCATTACCCCACATGCAGTCTCTCATGTGAGGGAACAAAAAGCTAACAGACAAAAGCTAACAATCACCTCACATGCAGTCTCTCATGTGAGGGAACAAAAAATCAACTGGGAGTTAAACAAAGCCAACCTCATGCAAGGGAACAATCTCACAGGCAATCTTTTACTGAGGAAACCAAAAAGCTAACCATCACCTCATATGGGGGAGAGTAACATCACCCTACATTAGGGAAACAGACAGAAAAGAAAAAAACTATCATCAGCCAATGAAGGCGAATTTTTTTAAAACATCTTCCCTACAACTGGCTAGTGGAGAGGTGTGAAGGGGTGCCAGACATGGTCCTGGTCCTGGATTTTAAAAATCTTTTGAGGTTTTTTTTTTTTTTAAGATTTTATTGGGGAATTGGGGGTGGGGAACAGCGTTGCGGAATCGGGGAAGGGGAACAGACAACAGACAAGTTGCTGTCCTTTGGTTCTTCAGTCTAGTTGTGGGGTAACGTCACTTCGCTGGCCCTTGTTGGTATTATCATTGTGCTCTTCCCGGGTGAGGCAGTCGCTCACTGGCCCTTGGACGGCCGCTCACAGCAGCTCACGGCAGCTCACAAAAGCACATGCCAGCTGCCGGCCAGCCCCACTGCAGCCTACGCTGTCGCCTGCAACTCACGGCAGCCCAGCTCCAGGTTGAGCTGTTGTTCAGCATCTTAGCTGTAGAGGGCAGTGTCACTGGCCCTCATATGTGGGATCTGAACCGGGGCCCTCTGGTGTCCCAAGCCAGTTCTTAACCATCGCGCCACTCGGCCGGCCCCTGCTTGGCATTTTTATAGTCATTGTGACAAACCGCAATATTGGATTAATCCTGCTGTTTGTTTTCTGCAGATCTGTCCCCAGATTGTACAAACAATTGTGTGGGTTGATTCTGTCACTTGTTGTTTTGTTTTCTTTTCAATCTTACCTGGGTGTTCAGTGTTGCTTGACAATCTTTCCATTCACCCAATTGTTTTCTTACATCGTTCCTCATAGCAGATATTCCAATTTTTGCTCCATCATTTAAGCTCCAAGCCTATCATTGTCCACTGCACTCTCAGCAGATAACATCACTGAGAAGAGGCCAAGAATGAACTCCTTAAACACATCTCTAGAATAATTTTAAAATAATCTACTTCAGGAGTCAGCAAACTACTTATGTCGAATTCAGCCCTGGCTATGACCTAAAAATGCTTTTTATGTTTTACAGGATTGTGAAAAATGAAGAATATTCAACAGATTATGTGTCCCGCAAAGCTTAGGGTAGTTACTACCTGGTCCTTCATGGAAAAAGTTTGCTGAGCCCTGACCTAGACCATCACCCATCTTTCTTTCCTTCCCAATTCAGAGGAAACTCTTTCTCCTTTCCAGGGCTGACCTGGAAACCTGTGATCTGATCCAATCTTCTTCTGCCTCTCCCAGAATGTCCTTTTTCCTGTGTCTTCTCCATAGCTAGCTGAAGAATGCTTTTTTATATCACTAAGTATAGTGCAGTTTCCCCAAACTGTCTGAGCCAGTCAGGCTGATTCTCTTGGCCTTAGATGATAAGTTCCAGTCTCATCCCTCTTGGATGAGAGTGCATGGTAGTGAATGGAGGCTATCCCACACTATTTCCAAGATGGGCTGTTAATGTCATTTGTAACATAAAAGAATCTGAGATCCTGTGAGCCCAGCTGGACTTGGCCCTGGCACGAGGTATAAGGTTAAGAACCCAGTGTCATCTCTTTCCAGATGACCAACCAATTGCCTGCTTTTAAAAAGTTCATCCTTATCTTATTGGTATGACATGTCGCTTTTGTCATTTACTAAATCGTTCCGTCTTCTCTCTCATCCTCCAGATCCAATCAATCCTCAAACCTTGCCAATTTTACTTCCCAAATAGGTTTCATATCTAACCCCTCTTTGCAATCCCTAGTCTCACCAACTGCCCCAGTTTCGTGTCTCACCGTTAATCTCCTGAATTGCATTATTTAGCCACATTTTACCCCGACAGTCAGTCTTCTCATCTCCCCGCCTCCCTCCCTCCCCTCTTGTTCAGTCTTTCTCGCAGGGTGCTCAACAGCATCTTTGTAAAATCTGTTCTTTTCCGCATTTAAACCTTTCCCTGGCTTTCCACTGCCTTCAAAAATACCTAATTTAGCCGTCTGCTCCAGGGGCTCTGATGGTGTGGGAATGCCGTTAATGCCTCCCCACTCTCTGGCCTGTCGTGCTCCCTCTGCTGAGACACTCACCTCATTTCTTGGTACACCCTTCAAATTTGAGCTCAGGTGCCGGCTCCTCCAGGAAGCCTTCTCTGACCTCCCCCTCAGCAAGCCACCTCCCCGCCCCCCACGTATCCGGGTCGAGGCCCCTCTTTTGTGAACATGTAATATTCAGTGCTCCGTCACCCTCGGCCCCTACGCCTCGCACAAAGCACCGAGGCACGCAGAACGAACACGTGTTGACCCACTGGACTAAAGCTTCTTGAGAGAGGCGCCGTGCGGGGTTATACGTCTGGAGAGTCCTTCCCTTAGAGGGAAAACAGGTGCAAAGGCATGGACGTGCAAAGGGGCCTGGCGACCGAGAGCCTCGAGGGACGCAGTTAGCCCGGGAAAATGCTTCTCGCAGTCCCGCGCACGCTCCAGAACAGTCCCCCGGGACGAACGACCACCGAGACGCCCCGACCTCCGAGCGTCCTAGAGAGGAAACGGAAGGTGCCCTTTCCTGACGCACCTGTTTGACAGCGTCTGCGGCCCACTTCCGGTCCACCAAGGGCTCTGGCGACCCTGGCGTGGGTGCGGGGCAGCGGGTGAGAGCCGTGTTGGGGCCGCGCGACGCGTTTGGGCGGCGGTGGTCGGGGTGCCGGAGCTGGACTGTGGTGCAGCTCCGGGCATCGGCGGCGTCGGCAGGACTCATGCTGCGGGCGGCGCGCCTCCTCAGAGCTGCCTCCGGCGGCACCTAGGCCTGGCTGCCCGGGACCCGGGGGATACGGGGGCGGGGCATTCGCGGGAGGCTCAGGTAGGAGCGAGCGAGGCTGATCCTGCCTTTGGCCTAACTCAGGGGTGTTGATGAACCCGAGACCTTGAACCAAAGTGGAACTCTTTGAAAAGTCAAAGTTGTTGTTTTAGAGCCAGACGTAAGACATTCCTTTAACGAATAGCAACGGGGCCTTCTGTTTGTCAGATGTCAGGGATAAAAGATGAGTGAGGACCTTTCTTGCATTCACAGAATCTGGTAGAGAGAGACACGTTGGTGTACACATTTGCGCTATAGTGGGATAAATAATAGCTAGAAGGTCATGAAACAGCAATCTCAGTTGATGCAGGAGAGAAAATGAATATACTGAAAATGTAAAATAGGTTTAAGAAGGGTAGATAAAATACACAAACACCTAAGAGAATATTAAGCAGAAGCTTCGGAGGTGCCTCCTGCCAGTTGCTCATTCTCTGCTCCATTTGAGAGTGATCTGCCTGCCCCCCAAAGCCAGCCTCCTGACCCACCTTGGTCTTCCCGGTCTGCTTCCCCAGCCTCCGTCACTCCCCTTTCCCCCCCCCCCCCCCCCCCCGGGATAATTAAATAGCGTTCATTCTCCCGTCTAGTACAAGCCTCTTTTTTTTATCATGAATACTTGAACCTACATGTATCTTTCTCTTTTTGGCTTCCCTTGTTTCTCATCTAAACCATGTATGTTGGGAGGCTGACCTTGGCCAGCCACCTCACCGCTTACATCTTCAGCTTCTTCATCTGAAAAGTGGGGGAAATAGTGCTCACTGTACAGAATTGTTGTAAGTATTAAATGAGAGTATGTGTTCACATGCTTTCTAAATGGTAAAGCCTACACAAGTTAGAAATCTTGCAGTCAGTTATAGTAGCGGTATATATGTTGCTCTGTTGTTTCCTTTAGGTTGAGCATACATCCAAACCACTAGCAAATCTGTTGGGTTTACCTCAAAAATATGCCTTGGCTTTGTCTGCTGCTTTGCCACCATCCTGATCTAAGCCCTAATCGTCTGGTTGGACCGCCATCAGTGCTCCTTCCCATCTTTTCCCCTCTAATCTGCTCTTGACATACTGCATACAGAATATGTCTTGTAAAACATGTCGCTCCCCATGAAAACAAGCAGAGTAAAGCCCATAATTCTTACTGTGGCCCAGGCCTTGGATAATTTGGTTTCTGCCTGTCTCTGCCACCACTTCTTATGTAGCTCTGTCCTTCACTCATTTTGCTGAAGCCACACTGCACTTTGGCTTGTTATCCGACACGCAGAGGAATTTCTAGCCTCGAAGCTTTTGTCTGGAATGCTCTTTGAATGACTGGCTCGTTCTCATCCTTTGGGTCTCAGCCTACGTGTCATCTCTTCAGAAAAGCTTTCTTGAAGTTGTCCCCCATTAACAGAACTTATCTCCATTTATAATTTTAATTTTTGCTTCCTTTTTTTTTTTCTGTCTGCTGTACTAGTATATGAGTTTCAAAAGGCAATACCTTGTCTATGTTGTTCTCTATTGTATTTCTAGTTTCTGTGGGCCTGGCATATGTATGTGCTGAATGTATATTTCTTTTAGTGTTGGGAGAGTGTGCCCTGGTGACTGACCTAATTATCACCTATCTTACAGTCTCCGATTGTAGCGTTATCTCCCTAATGGTATCCTAAGGTATTTGTGGGTCTAAGCTAAAACCTGTACATTTTGTATTTACTCTCTGCCCATACCAGGTGGTTAGCAAATACTGAATTGAATTGACATGGTTTTTTAAGGTATATGTTCAGTCTTTTGAAAATACCTCACAGAAGGTAATTAACATGTTCTCTAGCAGAATATTCTTTGATGTAGAAACAACTGGGATTGACTGATCTTTCAGTCTCATTTATGCTCATTGTCTGTTTGGTCTTCCCAACAGAACGTCAGTCTTCTGGGCGGGAGTGTGAAGATGCTTAAAGAGCGTCCAGCGATGGCAGAAGATCCTCAGCAGCAGATGGGTGTTCCTGTGGTAAAACTGGAGAAAGAGTTGCCTTGGGGCAGGGGAAGGGAGGACCCTAGTCCTGAGACTTTTCGGCTGAGGTTTCGACAGTTCCGCTACCAGGAGGCAGCTGGTCCCCAGGAAGCCCTCAGGGAACTCCAGGAGCTCTGTCGCCAGTGGCTGAGGCCCGAGCTGCACACCAAGGAGCAGATCCTGGAGCTGCTGGTGCTGGAGCAGTTCCTCACCATCCTGCCCCGAGAGTTCTATGCCTGGATTCGGGAGCACGGCCTGGAGAGTGGCAAGGCCCTGGTGGCTATGGTGGAGGACTTCACAGCGAGAGCACTGGAGGCCAAGGCGGTGGGTGAGAAGGGGGTCTTGGGTTTTATTTTGTTGGTGTGGAAAGGGGAAATTTAAAGAATTGGAAAGTTTGAGGAAGCAATGGGAGTGGATGAGGTGCAGAATCTGCCTCCTCTGCTCCCAGACTCCCTGAGGTACTTTTTTGGGGGGCAGTGCAGTTTTCAGCAAGAAAAGCCATTCCCGGGGCTTCTTTTTTGGTCATCAGGGCAGAGGCCTGGCCATATTTCCCCTGTGGGCCTCAGGCCCAAATAAGGCAGTTGTGATGGATTTCAAGGTCCCTCCTAGACCCATTCCTTTTTGGGCAGAGCTGCATGTGGGAATGCAGGAAAGTCCACTTGGTGAATATTCTCACTGCACCTCAGAGGCTTCCTTGCGACTCTGGCCATGTCTCTGTCACTGTCTGACACAGTCACCTGAATGTTGGTTGGGAAAGAAGAGAGCAACTTTTTCTTACTAGCTAATTCACTGAAGAGCCTAGGCTTCTGCTTTTTATTTTCAGCATCTGTAACTAGGGAATTTTTTTTTCCCTCGTAGTGAGTGTATTGGGCTGAAATTCTCAACAAGAGCATATTTAATATTTAGGCTTTCTGATGTTATTCGTGGTGGAATTTGATCTGTACTGAGGCAGACAGAAGGGACCCTTGTAAAATGGCACGGACACATGAAAGTTGTTGAGAGCCTGAGAAAGGGAGTTTCACTTCCTTTTCACTTTTTTCTCACTGATGTCCTGGCGAAGAGCTGAGCCAGCTTGTCCTTCCTATCCCCTGCAGTTGGATAGTTCTTTTCTTGGCTGTCTTTTTAGGTTTCAGTTCAACTGCTTTTATAATAGCCTTTCCAGGCCTCATTCTAATAGGTGTTGGGGACTGTTCTTAGGTTCCATGCCACATGCAGGGAGAGCAAGAGGAGGCGGCACTTTGCAGAGGCCCTTGGGAACCAGGTGTCCACCTTGGGCCAGTGGAGGTCAAGCCTGAGTGGGGGATGCCCCATGGGGAAGGAGTTCAAGGCCTAGACCAAGGCACCGAGGAGCAGCTCAATCAGGACCCTGGAGCTGGGACGCAGGCCTTCCAGGAGCAGGGTAAGATGCAAACAGTAAGGAAGTAAGGGCGCAGGCAACGGTGCTTTGTATCCTCCCCCTCATCGTTTCCTTTACAAACCAAACAACTGATAAATTAAGTTACCTGCAAGGTGTAATTCTGAGTTTTCCTGGCTACTTCTTTGACTTCAGCAGAAAACAGATGATGTGGAATTGTTTTCTATATTTGACTCTCTGATTTTCTGCAGGGGATGGCTGGGATTGTGTTCTCTTGTCATTTATTCTCCTTTCTCTCACATCCCTTCTGGAAATACGCAGCTGACATATTTTTTAAGTAGGCAGACAGACCATGTCCCTAAAAGTAATGTGTGACTTTATTGTGTTATCAAATCTCAAAGGGGGTTATTCCCAGAGTAGGGGGCATGACTAGCCCTGAACGGACATGGCGTATTGGGTTGGGACCGTCTTCCAGCTGAGAACAGGGTAAGGCACACCCAAACCCCTATCGGTCTGGAGTCCCCTTGTGGTTCCTGGGGTTCTGTGTGACAGGGAGTGGACCCCTTTGAGGGAGCTAACTGCAAGGCAGCACTAATCCTGCTCATGCTTCCCCCCGCCTGCTCAGCTCTGCCAGTTCTTCAGGCTGGTCCTGGCCTCCCCCCAGTGAACACCAGAGACCAAGAGATGGCAGCTGGATTCCTCACGGCTGGATCCCAGGTGACCTGTGCCTCTGCCCTTCCAGTGATCATGATGTGGCTTTGAGTGAAGTTTATTTTCCCCAAGATTTCTCTGCACAGCAGAGCTCCATCCGCAAAGTTGAATTAGTCTACCTTTCATGTTCTGATGGCCTTGTTCTCCACTTTACCAGCCTCAGTTGTTAATTTGAATCGAGCTTATACCTTAGGGTCCAGGCTAAGGCTAAACTCACTTGTTTGTAATACTCTTTTTATTTATTTATTTATTTAACCCAGTATTTTTTAATTGTGAGGAGAACACTGTTGATAGAAGCCCCATAGGCATGATCTAGGTTGTGGTGGTTGGCTAGAAGATCAGTAGCCCTTTGTAGATAGTCTTTATGGATACTTCCGCTGCTGCTCTTTCTCTGGACCTCCCCTACCCCCACATCTGCAGGAGGGTAACTGACTTATGGTTGGGGGTTTCCAGGAGTACTGAGCAGAGTGGTCTGTCTGGCCCCGACTCTGGCCACACCAGGAGATTTGGCCTTCTTCGCACTTCTTAGCCTGCCATGAGTAGGGTAACTAGAGCACAGATGGGGTACTTTTGCCCCAGTGTAAGTCTCTTCCATGAGATGCTGAGCGTTACCAGAGTGGTGGGAGATTTCCAGTGTGGCACCTTTCTGAAGGAGGCAATGAGTCTTAAAATGCGTGTCATAAAATGAAGAGTTTCTCATAGAAGAAAAGATGTCATTTGGCAGAAAAAAAGAAGTGAGTCAAGTCTGATGTAGCTAAAGCAGTATTGGGCAAGGATTGATGCCTGCGTCATTTTCTGTTCCTCTTTTCTTAGGATGAAGTTTGGAGGAAATGCAGAATGACAGCGTGTTTTAATTTGGTCAGACCCTTCCCACCTACCATAATAGTTCTTCATGGTTTTGTGAATAAAAATGCATTTATTTTAACATGGCATTAAGACAGGGCTTACCCAAATGTTTACTTATCTCTGAGGGACAATCAGTTTGAAATGAGGGGATAAATAGCAGCTCCCAGATTTGATCAAGCTTGAGGATTAAGTGGAAGGGATTTAAAAGTAGAAATTAGATGATGTGGTTGTTATGTACAAAGCTAAGTGTGCAGCAGAGACTCAAAAATAAAGTGGCTCAAACAAGTCCATTACTCTCTGTCATTATACTGTCGAGAGGTAGGCGTTTCTGCTCCCAAGGCCATCTAGGGACCCTGGTTCCTTCCATCTCACTCTGTTCTTCCCTAGTGTATTGTCCCGTGGGGTCTCTCTCCTTTTAGACTGCTCCTACCTCAGGATTATTTCTTTATCCATAGAAATCTCCTGTTGTTTCAGGGCTTGGGACCATTTAAAGATATGGGTCTAGCCTTCCCGGAGGAGTGGAGGCATGTGACCCCAGCCCAGATAGACTGCTTTGGGGAATACGTGGAACCACAGGACTGTGTGGTCTCACCTCCAGGTAAGACTGTTTCCATCCCATAGGTAAGAAACTGAGGCATTTGGAAGCAACAGGTCAGGGTTCTTGCCCTTGCTCCAGATTTCAGAGTCTGGTGCTATACTGACAAAGGATGGGGACTTCATGGCAGACGAATAAATGGGACCAAGGAAAGAGCATGGACCAAGGATGTGAGAACTGGCTAGGTGCATCCTGTGTCAGGAGAGGATGGACAAGGGGCAAGAAGACATGAGGTAATTTATTCTGGCTGTGATGAGACAGGTCCGTCATTAGGACACCCCAAGCACCTAATCTGTGTCCGTGATTGGAGGGTACCAAGGGCTTGAGAGCAGGAGAAAAGCAGCAAAGGATGGGTTCTCTGATCTTGTTCATTCAGCAGGTATTTATTGAGTGCCCCCTGTATGCGGGCTCCACAGTAGTAGCTTTGTGTTGGGGCAGGACTAACGTACGTGAAACCTTTGGAGCATGCAGTGTGTGTAGAGGAGGGCACGAGAACGCACAGTAGGATTTTAGAGACAGGAGGGGTCGGTGTGGGCCCGTGTCACAGAGCAAGCAGAGCCTCCATCGGGCCTGTCTCATATGAGCTGAGAGCTGGGAGGACTTGGCCATCACACATAGTAAAGGAGCTCAGAGGAGGAGGACCAGCAGGAGAAAAGAGGAGGGAAGAGTGAACAGAGGGAAATGCAGGGCGAAGGCCCTGCTGGGAAAGCCGGCAGAGGGCACTGCAGGGCGTGGGGACTGCCAGAGTGAGGAGCAGTGTGGAAAGTCTCTGGTGGGCTGAATCGGGAGGAATGTGGGGAGACACATGGTTGGGAATGGCCCTCTCCTTCATTCCCGCAAATTCTTTTCTTTCTTTAATAACCACTTTGTAAGTTATGTGCTGACCACTCATATATCCTGACCCCACGTGGCCTTTTTTCATCTTGAAATATGTTGAGGGATAAGTGAGGTGTCGTTGTACTTCGTTCAGGACATGAGAGAACCCATCCTGGCTCCACCACTTCCTAACTGTGACCTTGGGCATCTCACTTGAGCTTTTCAGGTCTGAGTTTCCCCAGTTGTAAAATGGGAATATTCATAGAATACTGTCTCATGGAGTTGTGAGGATTTAATGAGATAATAAATCTAAACATTTGGCAAGTTTGGTAGTGCTAGATATTTTTATTATTGGGTGTTGGAAAAGTCATGACGTATTTTTTCTATGTTTTTCGTTGCAAAAATGAGTCATGACTTTTCCGACAACCCAATAGTTGTGTAAGTATTACACATAAAGTGATTCCTTTATGAGTCAGTCAGGATTCATTCAGTTACATATCTAAAAATATTTATTTGGCATTTACTATGTGGCCACCACCCTGCTAGTCACTATGAGAGTTAAAAATAAAGGCACTTGCCTGTACAGCCCTAACAGTCTGATGAAGAGCCGAAGTGCCTGTAATTACGGAGGAGTGTAAGGGGCACTAGAGGAGGGGGCTCAGGAGACCGGGGTCCAGCACAAGGTTGTCACACCATGAGAAAGAGATGTAAGACTTCTCTGATGGCAGAGGATGTGGAAACCCTGAGAAATATCTGCACAGCACAGGAGCTCGTGCAGTGTGTCCCAGAGGGAAGTGCCATCATTCCAGTGTCTTAATGCCCCTCAGGGGTGTACCTCTGCTAGTTCTGATACTCTGGGGGGACGGATTCTGCCCTCGTGTTCCCAGAGGGTTTTTACACCCTCCTGGCCATTTCTGACTGTCCTAGAGACTCTGCTGTATGTTTGTCCTCTTACCCACTCATTGTTTCAGAACAACCCAAGCACTTCCCTAAGCATTTATGCTGAGGCTAGGTGAGGTGAAGGTCTGTTTCCCAGGCCTACCCTCTGCTAACCGTCTTAACCTTCAGTCTCCCTCAACATATTTCAAGATGAAAAAAGGCCACGTGGGGTCAGGACATAATGAGTGGTCAGTACATAACTTACAAAGAAGTTATTAAAGGAAAAGAAGACACTGAGGGAACAAAGGAGAGGGCCATTCCCAACCACGTGTCTTTTCATTTCCCCACTCTCCTCTCCATTCAGCCCACAGAGACTTTCCACACTGCTCTTCACTTTGGCAGTCCCCAAGCCCCTGCAGTGTCCTCTGTTGGCTCTTGCATTGACAGCTGTGTGAGAAAATAAAATTCCATAATACGTAATATGTAGCACATATTTGCATTTCTTCAGGGTCTGTTTAAGGTTTATGCATTACATATCATTTTAAATTTACTATTCATAATACCGCAAAACTGGAAACTACCCAAATGAACATCAATCAAATTAATAAAGAGAATGGAATATATTCTTACAGTGTAATACTATACACCAGTGAAAAAGAATGTAGTCTAACTGCAGCTACGCACCATGATACGGGTGAATCTCACAAGCGTAATACTATTAAAGCCACAGTGTGTGACTCAATTACATGAAGTTCAAGAACAGACAAAAGTACTTTATGGTGATGAAAGTCTGGGTAGCATGTAACCCTGAGGGCAGGATATAGTCACTAGCGGGAATGGGAGAGGGATTTCTGGGGACTGGTAGTATCTCTTGAACTAGATGCTGATTACATGGTTGTGTTCATTTTGAAAAGTCTTTGAGCTCTACATTTATGTTTTGTACACTTTTACTTTGATGAAAAGTAAAACAACAGAGTGCATCAGAGATGATAGCTGTGTCCTTCATGTTTTTATCAAATCAGGAAGCAAGTAATGTCTGTTTTCTTTTTCTCTTAATGATCTTGCCTGAAAGGACTCCTTTCCCCTTTAAGTACCACTTACCATTTCTCTCTTGGCTTCTTTGCTTCCTAGTATATTTTCTTATCTTTTTTCTTTCTCCCTTCCTCTTGTTCTTCTGTAAACAATTGTGTTAACTTAAAGAGTGTAAGAGGGATCAGAGGAAGGCCTTCTAGAAGGGGTAAGGCATTTCAGCAACATCCACGGGCATTTCGATCCTAATAGAGATGGTAACGTAGAGTGGCCTGGTACAAGAACGTCACTGACAGACTGGGTTCATTTGTCCATCCAGCAGTCATGAAGCATTTTCCCTGAGTCAGTCCCTGTGCCAGGCCTCCAGGAGAACCAGATTAGTAAAACAAGGCTAGGTGGAGGGAGCCGCATGAGCAGGGACAGCAAGCTGAACAGGTTAGTGGAGAACTGCAGGTAGTTCACCATTTTTGGAACAGATTTATAATCACTGAGAAAGGCAAACATTTGGATGGACTTAAAGTAGCATTTACAACAAGGTCACATATAAATAAGTGCAAAATAAACAGTGCTAATTGAATACATATGTGCTGAAGAGACCCAGAATACAAGAATAATCAGGGTGTGTTGCTTTTTTTTTTTTTTTTAAAGATTTTTATTGGGGAATTGGGGGGATGGGAACAGTGCTGGGGAATTGGGGGAAGGGGAACAGACAAGTTGCTGTCGTTTTGTTCTTCAGTCTAGTTGTGGAGGATATTGCTTCACTGGCCCAAGTTGGCACCATCATTGTGCTCTTCCCGGGTGAGGCAGATCAGTCGCAGGCTTCTGGACAGCCGCTCACTGCGGCTGCTGGCCGCTCAACGCTGGCTGCTGGCTACATACGGTAGCCCATGGCAACACACTGCCACAGGGGCTGCAGCCTATGCTGTCGCCGTCACTGTTGCCAGCGACTCACAGCAGCCCAGCTCCAGGTTGAGCTGTTGTTCAGCATCTTAGCTGTGGAGGGCAGTGTCACTGGCCCTCATATGTGGGATCCGAACCGGGGCCCTCTGGCGTCCCAAGCCAGTTCTTAACCATCATGCCACTCGGTCGGCCCCAGGGTGTGTTTCTTAAAGGAAATCAGTGAGTTAGATTTTGAAGGAATTAAAGGAGTCTGAATTGGAAAGTTAAGTGGGAAGACATGAAAATTTGGCAGACTGTTCTATAAAAAGGCATGGAGTTTGTTTTAGCTTGGGACTGAGTGATATAAACAATAAACTTTTATTTCTCACAGTTCTGGAGGCTGGGAAGTCCAGGATCAGGGTGCTAGCAGATTCAGTGTCCGGTGAGGGCCTTTTTCTTGGCTTGCAGACAGCCACCTTCTTGACATCTCACATGGCAGAGTGGGGGTGAGGAAAGAGATCTGTCTCTTTCGTAAAAGGTCACTAATCCCACCATGATGGATCATGGTCACAGACCTCTGTGTTTATTCAGAGAGAGAACTCTGGTTTCACTTCCTGTTACAAGGACACTAATCCCATCTTGGGTGTGGGGCAGTCCGCCTTCATGACTTTACTTATTTGACAAAGGCCCCACTTGCTAATTGCATTACATTGGAATTTAGGGCTTTAACCTATGAATTTGGGTGGAGAGGGGACACAAACATTCAGCCCATGACAGAGATGGAAAGAAGTAAAGGAAAGTCTGACTTTAAGGTCAATGAAAGTAAAATGTAGAGGTTGCTGGTCAAGGGAAGGAAGAAGGAACTGTTAAGGACACACTTAGTAAATATAAATTTACTGTCCTAGCTGCTACAGAATCAATCTGTTTCTCCTTTGTTCTATAGACATTGGGAGCAAGGAAAAGGAGGCCAAAACTCAGCCGATAGACCTCAAGGGAGCGCTTGCTCAAGGGACGTCAGAGAGGTTTGGGGAAGTTGCTCTTCAGAGCCCTGAGCTTGGAAGAACCTGTGAGCAGGAGTCCGTTAGCTCTGTGGGAAACGTGCCAGGGCCGCCTCCTCCCCAGCCTGGCATCCTTCCCCTGCCCGATGACCTCAAGACCCACAGCTCCTTCTGGAAGCCTTTCCAGTGCCCCGAGTGTGGAAAAGGCTTCAGTCGGAGCTCAAATCTCGTCAGACACCAGCGAACCCACGAAGAAGAGAAATCCTATGGCTGCGTCGAGTGTGGGAAAGGGTTCACTCTGAGAGAGTACCTCATGAAGCACCAGAGAACCCACCTGGGAAAGAGACCCTATGTGTGCAGCGAGTGCTGGAAAACCTTCAGTCAGAGGCACCACCTCGAGGTGCACCAGCGGAGCCACACGGGGGAGAAGCCCTACAAGTGTGGGGACTGCTGGAAAAGCTTCAGCCGGAGACAGCATCTTCAGGTGCATCGGCGGACGCACACTGGCGAAAAGCCCTACACCTGCGAGTGCGGCAAGAGCTTCAGCAGGAACGCCAACCTGGCCGTGCACCGGCGAGCCCACACCGGGGAGAAGCCGTACGGGTGCCAGGTGTGTGGGAAACGGTTCAGTAAAGGGGAGCGGCTGGTCAGACACCAGAGGATCCACACGGGGGAGAAGCCCTACCACTGCCCTGCCTGTGGGAGGAGCTTCAACCAGAGGTCCATCCTCAACCGGCACCAGAAAACGCAGCATCGCCAGGAGGTCCCGGTGCAGTGAGCGAGCCCTGCGGACTTGCGTCTTTTCTGCTAATGGGAGATGCTGGAGACGGTGGGGCCTCCCAGCGCCATCTAGTGGAGGGAGACGTCCCTGGAGGATGTCATTCGTGTTTACTCACTGAAGGGCTTTGGAGGGGGCATTGAGGGGTGAGGGGGTACAGAAAGGCACTTTGACCCATTTGCTTTCCACTTGTTCAAAGGAAAAGGGCGAGGCCTGATTTATTTTGAGTTCCCAGATTGCATAGCTTCTCACATCTCTTAGCCAAGTGGTGCTATCAGTTTTTCTTACCACCTTTTGGGGAAATGTTATCCTGCGTTTTTAGTTCAGGTTGAGGTTTTTCTTCTTTAGTGGGATGTTCATATCCGCCTCCTGAGCAAGTCTGATAGTCCAGGCAAAATTTTGTCAGTGTTGGCAGCTGAACCTAGTTTTTCTGAGGTCTGTATCCTGCCTGCAAGGATACAGACTCTGTCTCCCTTCCTCCCCCACTCTCTTTCCCATTTAACAAATATTTATTGAACGCCTGCTATAGGCCTGGCACTGAGAATACAGTGGTATTCTTGTTCTCCCGGAGCTTGTGATTTAGCACTGGAAGCACACATGAAGCCATTAATTACCGTGTTCTAAGTTACGTTTGTGGTGAGTGCTGTGAGAGGATGTTCTTGTTCCCCGCTCATTCTGCCCCGTTGCGCGGGTGCTGGATCTTGCCCTTCCTAGTGGGGATCACCCAGGCTCCTCGTTTATTTTACTTTATTTGTAGCCCCCTTTGTAGCATTCTACCCTCATCTGTAAAGCTTCCCCATTTCATTCCTTGTACTGTAACAACTGTCCACATATCTATTAGGAAATTAATATTTTGTTATTGACCAACTAAATAAACATGAGACTATTTTTAAGAACATTCAATTCTATATACAGATGTAATTAAATGAATCTGAAGGATGAACTAGTATTAATACTGTATATTTGATGGCACTTTACAGTACATAAAATGCTTTTCCCTGTATTCTTACTTGATTAATTCCACACGTATTTATTAAGGCCCAACAGTGTGCCAGGAACTCTTCTAGGTGCTTGAGATATATCAGTGAATAAAATAGGGGGAAAATTCCTGACCTTGTGCAGCTTACATTTTAGTGAATGTATTTGGTCGTCAGAACCACCCAAGGTGGAACTCATGGATGTTCCCATGAACACTCTGGTCCTGGGATCTGAGCCTGTACCTTGGTCCTGTCAGCTTCTTGCCTGAAATGCGTTTGCCACTTAGCTCTTACTACTGAATAATCTCTGTCCTCAGTGCTTCCAGATCCTTGTCATCTGAGAGGTGCTTGGGGTCCTGAATGCCAGCTGGAGATGATGAGATGGTAGCAGTCTGTTTTGCATGAGTGCCAAATAAAATATTTGTAGGCATTTAAAAAAATGCATTTCTTTAAAATGAGAAGATGCAGTATTTGTAACTGTTTAAGCTTTTTTATATTATTTTGATGTTACTCAAGGCTTTTCTTTCTGTTGGAAGTTCTGGAGTCTGCGTAACTCACATGGGCTGCACTGTGGTGTTGTAATGCTGTGCCTCTGAACACTGGCTGCTGAGTAAGTTAGTCTTTTGACAGTGTACTGTAATTAGTTTATCTTTTGACAGTGTACTATAATTGCAAGATGTGATTTGTCTCATGATACTTCTTAATATTCTTTTACTGGATTCCCCCCCCCCCAATTTTCTATTGTAAATAAGATAAATGGTAATGACTTTAACACAAATAGTTGCATTACTCAGTCTACTTTGGAACACATTATTTTATCACTCATTTATTGCCAGATAGTCATAGTGTTTAATTTGGATTTAGCACATGACCTGGCCTCTCAGCTGTCCCTGTGAGGCTGCACTAACCAGGATGTATCTGAGACGGCCACTGTCTGAGGTGTTGGGCTGCTGCTACTTTTCAGCAACATTGAGGGTCAGATGTAAAATCAGCTTTTATTCCCACTTCCCAGACAAGTCAGGCAAAGTTTATGGCCACCTGGCAGCCAAACCCAATGGAAGGCTTTTGCTAAGCCTCTGGCTTCTGTAGAACATGGGGGCTGACCTGCCTGAGCTTGGCCTCCTCTAAGAGGTTCTGTATTACAAAGCTGGGCAGGAGTGTGAGGCCATCAAGGGCTGGGAGTTACTCATCAGTGGTCTTTCTGTTTACCTGAATTAAATTGTAGATTCTCTTTGATCATAACCTGGACCAAACAGGTCTCTGGGTTTTCAGCCAGTTGGAATCTCTTAAGAGAAGCTTTGGTAGGAGCCGGAACTTGCTGTCTTTTCCACTTAGGCTCCCCTGTCTGCTTTGAGACCAAAGCTCATGGAGGATACCTCAAAATACCTCAAAAGAGAATTTTTTCCCGTGGAACTAGTTCCATGGAAACTAAAAACTATATATTTTTTATATCCAAGTGTCAAATATTTTTTTTATTTTTCTATTTAGAGATTTTTTATAATAGAAAATTTCAAACATATAATATATAAATGAACCCTCATGTATTCATTTGACTTTAATCGTTATAAACTCAGCCAACCTTGCTTCATCTCTACCCCGTCCTCCTCCCCATATTCTTCCCTTACTGAAGTATTTTGAAGCAAATCTCAAATGTTGCTTATAAAGATTTCAGTGTGTACCTCTGAAGAGTAAGGGCTCTAAAAAAATAACCACAATACTATTATACCTAAAAAGTGAAAAATTCCTTAATTCCCAATTAATATTTTTTAAAAACCCACATACTTTTTAGAAGTTTCTTTAAGATTCAAGTAAGATCTGTAAATTGTAATTTGTTGCTTTGTCTTCTAAGTCTGATAATCTATACTTCCTATGCTTTTTCCCCCTTGGAATTCATTCATTGAAACAACTGGATTATTTATCCTGTAGAATTTCTTATATTCTGAATTTTGTTGTTTACATATCAATGACATTATTTAATATAGTTCTCTGCCCGCTGTATTAACTAAAAAGTTACAGGTCTAGAGGTGTAACCAGATTCACATTTCACATTTTGGCAAGAACATACAGATGGTGGCATGTGTGGTTATTATATAATGTTAGGATCCTAGATCCATTTATTTCATTAATTCTGTGAATGATTTTTTTTACTTTAAAGATTTTTTGGGGGGGAATTGGGGAAGGGGAATAGCGAAGTTGTTCTTCAGTCTTAGTTGTGGAGGGTGCAGCTAGCTCAGCTCTAAGTTCAGTCGCCGTCCGGCCGCCCGCCAGCAGCTCACGGCCACTCAGCTCAAGGTGCCGTGTTCAATCTTAGTTGCAGGTGGGCACAGCCCACCATGCCATGCAGGAGTCGAACTGGCAATCTTGTTGTTAGGAGCAGGTGCTCTCACCAGCTGAGCCATCCTGCCACCTGTTGGCAGGTCAGCAGCAGCTCAGCTTGGCGCAGCTCACTGGCCCATGTGGGAATCGAACTGAAGAGCTCATGCTCTTAACCAACTGAGCCACTTGGCCAGCACAATGATTCTTTATTAGCTGGAATGCCACTATAAGAAATTTCCCCTTGTTAACGATTAGGTTACTCTTAGGTATAGTTCATAGAGGAAAGGAAATGCTTGATTCTTCCCATTATTTTTCCATTTTCACAATAATGATCTGGCTTCTTTGCTTCCTGTAAAAGTGATCAATCACTTTTTAAAAATCAAATGTATTCACAAATCCATGTGTTCATGGATTTAAACCAATCTACTACAGTTATTCTTTTTGATGCTCAAATCATTTCACCTTAGGCCTGTGGGGAGCCTCTTCGGCTTGGCTCCTGATTCCTTTTGACACAACTCTAATCATCTTTGATAGCTTCTTTGCTTTCTGGTAGGACAAGATGTTACAGGGTCATCTTGTACATTTTCTGCCTTTTTAAGAGTGAAGGGAAGTGCTGTTATGTCAGGACAATGATGTAAACTGGGACTCCAGGTCGCCTTACATATAGCCCTCATTGTGGATGATTGGGTGCCTGCAGTTCCCTCACACGGGAGTGATGCTGTGCACTTGCAGGGCCTGCCTGCATGTGCCACGCTACTGTGATGTGAGGAAGGGGGTCACTTCCAGGGGCATGACCTATGTAAGGGAAATCTCTTTTTATCCCCTGGGTGGTGACAGAATCAGGTCACTTTCTGCCCAAGGTCAGTCCTGTATAGCTGTTGCATTAAAAAAAATTTTTTCCCTCAAAATGTATGTCATGAATGTAGTCTGCAGACTAATTAACTATGCTTAAATACTTTCATGACCTGTGTTATCCCGACCTAGGGACAAGTAGAACCTTTGTTTGTTAAAAAAAAATAGCTGGTTTCAATCCCCACCCGCCTCCACCTGCAACACAAAGTGACTTTTCTTACTTCCTGGCAGGGAAAGTAACTGGCAGAACTTGTTTCTCTAGAGTCTGCTTGCTTCTTGAAACTTGCAGAGTTTCTCAACCTCAGCACTACTGACTGTTCTGTGCCAGATAATTCTTTGTTTTGGAGGCAGTCCTGACTGTTTTGTACATTGTAAGATGTTTAGCAGCTTCCCTGGCCTCCGCCTACCAGATGCCAGTAACATCCTCCAATTGTTACAATTAAAGAGGTTTCCAGACATTTCCAAACGTCCCATAAAGGGCAAAATGGACCCAGCTGAGAATTACCGCTTTTAGCATTCAGGATAATAGCTAAAGTGAATTAGACGGTTTACTGTTGAAAGAAAGGGCTGGCATACCAAGGATTCGTGATTTCCAGCTAAGCTTAATGCCCCAGCCTAACTTTGTAGAAAACAAAGGAGTTTTATTAGACATACTTGGTTTGAATGTAGTATTGCCAAGCAGAGCCAAAAGCTATTGAAGTAGAATCTTAGGATAGGGGCCTGGAAATCTGTAACAAATACCCCAAATGGTTCCTATGCAGGCGGCCTGGCTTGTTGCTTTGGGTTTCAGGTGAGCACCTCCCACAGAGCCTCTGTATCATAAAGAGCTTTTGCTTGGTGCCTAGATTCACCTTCCCCAGTAAATGCATGTGTGCAGTGGGGGCAACTTAAGCTCAGTGCAGCCAGTTTCAATCTTTTTTCCTCCATAATAAGGTCTTCAGGGTACACAGTAGACAGTAAATAATTGAACAAAAGGCCTGGATTTTTGCCATTTTAGTAGCTAGAAGGCTCTCATGCAGATGCCTTAGGAGGAAGGAACACTGCAGCAAGTTGTCCCCTAGTGGCTCTCCCAGTCTGGCTCTTCCAGAGAATAAACTAGCTGTTGTGCCACCAATTGCAGTTACAGCGAATTCATTTAGAAATTTTACAAGCCAAAGAAATTCACTTGGGCTTCCTACAGTTTTGTATTCCTATCTTGCCTTTTTTCTTTATTGTCTCGAGGACATACTTCTGGAGATTTATTGTGTTCACATCCCAAGCATTGACATGTTTCAATAAAAAATTTCACTAAAAACTTGTTATGAAGAAGGGAGGAGGGAAGGCAACATTCCTTGTGTTTCCGCTGGGAATTTAAACTGCTAGGAGAGAGGATGGAAAGGATTGGGTAATGCAGGTGTGCCTTGAGAAGTAGAGGGACTTAGGAGAAGCAGTTTGGGTTTTCTGGAAGAGCAGCTAGGTTCCTGTAAAAGGGCTGCTATCATTGCCACATGCACTAGTCATAGCTTCATCATCTAAGTGATCATCATCACATAAGCCAGAGGTCAGGAAATGGCAACAAATCCGAGAGCTCACTTCACGTTTTCTTTTCTTAGCAGAAACTACAGTCTCTTTAGAGGTGGTAGATTAACTTTTAGATAGAGAGTGGGAGAAAAAAGGTTATAGGTTTGTTTGCCTTCTTAACTCCCACCTAGGAGCTATTTGAATATTATACTATTTCCATGTCTGAAAAGTTCACCTAGAATTTATATCATCCTAGAAATTTCATTGGCTCCTGCAGAAGGGCCCAGAATGTCATCTGAACAGGGAAAGTAAAATGAACGATAAGTAGTTTATTATTGATAGTCTTTGCACTAGGTTTTTCCAGTCTCCATTATAAGGGTTCCTGCTGCCTGGACTGAGATGCTAATGGAAGGAATGGAAAATAAATGATGAAAAAAATAAACAGTTAAAACAGTGTGTTATATACT